GATTCGCATCATGGATGTGCAGCCGACAAATCTGCGGCAACTGTGTGATGCCATCATGTCAATATGGACCAAAATCTCTGCTTCCAGCACCTTGTTGAATCTATGCCACGAAGAATTGAGGCAGTTCTGAAGGCAAAAGGGGGTCCAACCCGTTACTAGCGTGGTGTTCCTAATAAAGTGGCCGGTGAGTGTAGTTCACCTGTAAAGGTTACATACTGAAACTTCGCCCAAAAGCCAATATCCCTAACTTTTTGTGAGTAGTGTATGTCATATTATACAGTTATTTTGGTAGAACTATTTTAATATTTCTGCATGAAATAACCCAGGTTGCACCGGAATGGTCATACAGGAATGCCACTATTTATGAAATGATGAAATGTGACACTAAATGCTTACAAATGCTGCCAGTAGTTGTGACAAAATGACAGAATTATGGCAAGATTTTAATGAGACCAGGTAAGTTAATAGCCTACAAGGTAGCATTTAGTATGTACAGTTGCCTACAGAGTCACTGTTTTTGTTCAGTCATGTGTTTGTTTGATATTTAATTGTTGAATACTGATGCAATATAAGGGTAAGAAGCCCTCTGTTTGTTACTGTTGGGGGACAACACTGGGCCTCACACAGGTGCAGCCCACTGTGACCACTTCAGTCCCCAGGACGTAGTCGTATGCCTTCTTCCCTCCATTTTTAAGGGATGTTTGCCTTGGGACTCTGTCAAAAAAGAAAAGTGAGTTATCAGTTTTAAACTTTGCTACTGTCAAAGAAAAAAAAACAAGAAACAAATTGTATGCAATAGTTACGTTCTATCCTTGAAAAGGTTGTTTTCAAGCTCTCACTCATTTTTGCAAGACCTTGTGGACCCTGTTTATGTTTAAGATATTTGTTGTTAATAATTTAGCCACCATACCAAGTTTTAACTAAACATCTATGAACTTGATTGAGTTATAGCACTATTTGTGTTTCATAGGGTTAATAGGTGGCCAACTAGCATATTTTGGCCTTAATATATTGTTATCTCTCCATTCTGCTAAAGGTTGCTTGTGACACATTAAAATATCTAATAACCTAAAAAACTGTATGTTTATTACATTTTACACTTCAGCACATCATCATTTTGTTACTGAGGAAATTTATTTTAGGGATAAGTAACAGCTAATATTAAAAGACAAAGAGTCAATGTTAAAAGGTTTGTGTGCCAATAAATGGTAAATAGACTGTATTTATATAGCACCTTTCTATCCAACCAGGATATTCAAAACGCTTTACACTACAATCTGTGTCCTCATTTACCATTCACACAGCACTCTATTAGGTCTCCACAAAGCTAACAAGTACAAATCATTCTATGGAGTCTAATCAGTGCGTTAAATAACATTCATTCATTGATGGGACGCATCAGAGGYGGTGGGGGTTTAGTGTCTCAACCAGGGACACTTTGACATGTGACCGAGTAACGGGGAATCACCAACCAACTCTTTGGTTGGAGGACGACTCCTTTAACCACTCAGCCACAGCCGCAGTGCTGGCTCTAGCCATTTTGGTGCCCTAGGCGCGTTGAAGC